GGCTGGATTTGAACCTGCCACCTTAGGTGTATGTGGCTGGTGCCTTAGCCGCTTGAGCCACAGGCGCCGAGCCAAGACTCTGTCTTAAAACAAAAACAACAGAAGACAAGCTGAGCATGGTGGCTTATGCTTATAGTCCCAGCTACTAGGAAGCTGAGGCAGGAGGATCGCCTGAGCCTGGGAGTTTGAGGTTGCAGTGTGCTGTGATTGCACTACTACACTCCAGCCTAGGTGACAAAGCTTTAAAGACCCCATTGGTGAAAAAAAAAAAGAGGATTTTAGGGTGATGGTTAGGAGCCTGAGTTCAGGAGACATGATTATGCCTGTGCTCATATTCTGACTCCCCAACTTATATGTGGTAGGGTCTTGGACAGTTACTGATGCTCTGCAACAACAACAAAAAAATTGCCAGGCGTTGTGGCGGGCGCCTGTAGTCCCAGCTACTTGTGAGGCTGAGGTAAGATAATCACTTGAGGCCAAGAGTTTGAGGTTACTGTGAGCTGTGACGCAATGGCACTCTACCCAGGGCAACAGCTTGAGACTGTCTCAAAAAAACCAACCAAACAAACAAACAACAACAACAACAACAAAATGGGATAATAATCATCCTCCCATGGGGCTGTTATGAAGATAAAGTGATTTGAAATATGTAATAGAGGTGGAACAGTGCCTGGCATGTTGGCTACAACTCTCAGCTATCAATAGACTACTGTGAGTGAGAATCAAAGCAGCCAAGTATGAGAAAACTATCTGTGGGTGATAAGACATGACAGCACAATGGATAACAGTGGTCACAGGATCTAGTTGAACTGTACAAGTCCAATCTCCAAGGAGTGAGGAGAGCAACAGGTATCAAGGAGCAATGTCCTTCCAACACACACCCTGATGCAGGCTGCTGTCCCACCCCTCACCCCACATTAGGTACCTTGTTGTAGTAGCCGTAAGTGATGGTGTTGGGCACGATGCCTGCCTGCCGCATCTCCAGCATGACCCGCACAGACAGCACAGGCTGCCCATAGTGTGAGCATAGCTGCATCAGCACCCGGTAGCACACCTGGGTCAGAAGAGGCACCGGATGACAGGAGACACCTCCCAACACAGACCATCAACTCTCAGCACAGTCTCCCCAGTTCTCACAGACTTTGCTGGCCCCGGCAGGCCCTGGGGCATCCTCAGAGTCACCCAGTCTTCCTGCCAGTCTTGTCCCCCTGCAGCTTCCACTGCCATGAGTGTGCTCACTCACTCAGTACATGTTATGGGGCACCTGCCTAGTTCTGGGACTCCCCATCGGCCTCCCCTGCTCTTCACCAGTCTGTGTCATAGCCCCATGGCTGTATATACCTCCCTGGGACTGGGTGTGGGTGCAGCCACACAGTACACAGTTGCCTACCTCATCAGGGAGCACCACCTTGCCACTCTCCATCTGTCGCAGCACGTGGTAGGCTGTGTGCAGTGCCTGCACCCGGGACGGTGCCGACCGCACGTAGGCCGGCAGACACAGGAACCACAGCCCATAGCAGTGCCCCAGCAGACATCGGGCCCACAACTCTGGCACAGCAGCCGACTTTTGTGCCATCCGCTGTGCAATCTTCATTTCCTAGGTGGTATGGAGGACATGGCAGGGTAAGACCACTGTTATCCATTGTGCTCGTGTCATGTCTTATCACCCACAGATAGTTTCCTCATACTTGGCCGCTTTGATTCTCACTCACAGTAGTCTGTTAATAGCTGAGAGTTGTAGCCAACATGCCAGGCACTGTTTCACTGTTCCATCTATTACATATTTCAAATCACTTTATCTTCAAGTACAAGGCATAGCTGGTTGTAGTACAGTGTGGGGAGAGACCATGCTTCCCTAAGGAAAGGCCTGAGCTCAGAGGAGGCAGGAGGAATGCTGTACTCCACAGGTTATAGCCTGCCTGGAGCCCCAGGCAGAAAGAGTGCCCTTGAGCATGGGCAGACAGTCAGCCTTAGATTCCCAGAGAGCTCAGAAGGTGAAGAAGATTACAGCAGCTAATGGCCACCCAGTGCTTCATAAATGCCAGGCATCCTGAAACCTTCTACCAACCTTATAGGGAAGAGCCATCACTATCCCTATGTACAGATGAAGCAGCAGCCCTTGGCTAACCAAGGTCCCTCAACGGGGCCCCCTCACCCGCCTGCTATTACCTGCTTTGTACGGCGAGGAGCAGGACTACTGGGGGCACTACGGGATGGGCCTGGCACAGGCAGGGCACCAGGTTGCTCTTGAAGAGACTCAAATAGCTCAGCCCGAAGCTCCGGGAACCCATCATAGCTGAAGGGTCAAGGAAAGGCAACATCACAATCTGTACTGGACCAGCCTTGGGACAAGTGAGGGGACAAGAGACCCTCACCAGTACTGGGGAGTGGATTCACTGCTTTCTGGTACTACAGGTTCCTCGGGAGGCGTGATAAAGACTGTGAGTTCACTTCCTGACAGCTCCTCCAGCTCCACTAAGGGATTCAGCTCCAGCTTCTCCTGCTCTGGGTGGACCTGCAGCAGTATTGTAAAAGAGTGAATATAAATATAGTGCGTGCAACAGGGCCAGGGTGTCTAGGAAGATGGCATCTCCCAGGAAAGGACATCCATAAGAAAGGAGCCCTGGAGACACAGCGTAGGGGGAAGGAGTCAGGAATGGAAGGGCAGTAAGCTGGTGAGAACAGGAGCCAGCCACATATGGCTGCACAGGTTGTGCACTGGGTGACTCCAGGGTGCCATCACAGCCACAATTAAGGTGTAGTGTTGGGTGGTGCCTGTGGCTCAGTGAGTAGGGCATTGGCCCCATATATCAAGGGTGGCAGGTGTGAACCTGGCCCCAGCCAAACTGCCCCAGGCATTGTGGCAGATGCCTGTGGTCCCAGCTACTCGGGAGGCTGAGGTAAGAGAATCGCCTAACCCCAGGAATTGGAGGTTGCTGTGAGCTATGATGCCACAGCATTCTATCAAGGGTGACAAAGTGAGACTCTGTCTCTTAAAAAAAAAAAAAAGATGTAGTGTTGTTTATAGTGTCCCTGGGACAACAGAGACAACCGGGAGAACAGAAGCAGTGGGCAATGCAGAAGAAACAGTGCCCGATACCTTGTCAACACAAGAGTCAAAGAATTCAAGGGCAGCATGTCGCGCAGAGCCGAATGAGCACTCCTCGATGAACTGGGAGAACATCTGTGTGTGCAGCAGCTGAGAGTACAGCTTGTGGCTAGAGCGTTCCCGGGATTTGAGGAACCCTAAGAGGGATGAGAGTAGGGCATAGAAAGGAGGTCACCTGGGCTCTCCCCCCACTGACACAACCTCCCTGAACCCCTTAGTGGCTCCTTGCCCACTCAGGACCAAGGCCACCAAAGCCATCATCTGTGGTTGCTTTTTTTTTTTTTCCTTGAGACAGAGTCTCACTGTTACCCTCAGTAGAGTACCATAGCATCACAGCTCACAGCAACCTTAAACTCTTAGGCTTAAGTGATTCTCTTGCCTCAGCCTCCCAAGTAGCTGGGACTACAGATGCCCACCACAACACCTGGCTATTTTATGTCGTAGTTGTCATTGTTGTTTAGCAGGCCTGGGCTGGATTCAAACCTGCCAGCTCTGGTTATGTAGCTGGTGCCCTCGCTGCAGAGCCACAGGTGCCAAGCCTCTCTTTGTTTTTCTTTGTGTGTTTTTATTTTTTGAGACAGAGTCTTACTTTGTTGCCCCCAGTAGAGTGCGTCATATCTCACAGCAACCTCAAACTCTTGGGCTCAAAAGATTCTCTTGCCTCAACCTCTCAAGTAGCTGGGACCACAGGCACCAGTCACAATGCTCAGCTATTTTTAGAGACAAGGCTCGCTCTTGCTCAGGCTGGTCTTGAATCCATGAGCTCAAGCAATGCACCCACCTCAGTCTCTCAAGTGCTAGGATTATAGGCATGAGGCACCATACCCAGCCCTTGGGGTTTTTGTTTGTTTGTTTGTTTTGTTTTTTGAAGACAGTCTCATTCTGTCACCTTGGGTAGAGTGCCGTAGCATCATAGTTCACAGCAACCTCAAACTCTTGGGCTCAAGTTGAGTCTCTTGCCTCAGACTACTGAGTAGTTGGAACTATAGGTAACTATAGTTTTTCTATATTTAGTAGAGATAGGGTCTCGCTCCTGCTCAGGCTGGTCTGGAGCTCCTGAGCTCAGGCAATCCACCTGGCCTCCACTGTCACTTTGGCCCTTCTGGCATGACTGCCAACACACCACGCTGACTAGCTTAGCTCTCCTAGTAATTTCTCTCTTTCATCTTCTGCCTCAGATTGGGGTTCTCTAAGGGCAGGATTTCTTTTTTTTTTTTT